GGTGTTGACCATCCTGCCCTGTGTTTGCCCACACGAAGGGAGAGCAGGCACCGGCCATTCTCGAACCTCCAGGGCTCAAGGCTGTGGGATCCCGGGAGTTGCAGTTTCCCAAGGTGTTTCCGTCGCTTTCCCTTCCTCGAACCGCTGAAGGCACAGAGAGTCGCGCTTTCGATAGTGAAAGGAGCAAGGAAAACTCCGCCGGTTGTAACGAATTTGCACAAACACTGAGCTTTGTTTCCTATGTGGCGCTATTCCCGCTTCTCTTCCGTAGTGGGAATGAGAACAGCTCATTTTCTCCCTTCTCCCTTCTTTCCCACTTTCCTCCTTCTCTTTCCCCCCTTTTGCCAAAAGAGGGTAAAACAATGTCCTCAAGTGAGCCTTCTCCCCTCCCTTTCCTTTTCCCCTTCCCTCCTTCCTTTCCCCGCTTCTTTCTCCCCTCCTTCTTTCCTTCCCTCTTTCCTCACCCTTCCTTCCTTCTTTCTTTCTCTCTCTTCCTCCCCCTTCTTTCCCTTTTCCCTTCCACTGAGAGCAGTTTAAGTCTGCATTATGTGGCCAGTGTAGACCCTTTAATGCAAATCCGACCAAAATTAGATGAAAGATGTATGGATCCTTCTCTTTCTTTCTTTCTTTCTTTCTTTCTTTCTTTCTTTCTTTCTTTTTCTCTCTTCATTCCCTTCATGCTCTTCCTTCTTCTTTTCCTTTCTTCCCTTGTTTCTTTCACACAGGGCCAAAATAGAGAAAACATTTCCTTCCTTCGTCAATTCATTTTTCCTCCTTCCCTCTTTCCTTCCTTTCCCTCTAATTCCTTCCTTCCTCCTTCTTTCTTTTCCTCCTCCCTTTCCCCCCTCTTTCTTCACCCTTCCTTCCTTCTTTCTTTCTTTCCCGCCTTCTTTCCTTTCCTCCTCCCTTTTTTCTTCCTTCCCTCTTTCCCTTCCTTCCTTCTCCTTTCTTTTTCTTTCCTCCTCCCTTTTGTCTACCTTTCTTCTTTCCTCACCCTTCCTTCCTTCCTTCCTTCCTTCCTTCCTTCCTTCCTTCCTTCCTTCTTTCTCTCTCTTCCTCCCCCTTCTTTCCCTTTTCCTTCTACTCGGGCCAGTTTAAATTATGTGGCCAGTGTAGACTCTTTAATGCGAATCTGAACTGCCTTTACCATTATAGGGCGGATTGGCAGCCTATATCCAGGCTGTTCACCTCGGTTCTCGTTTGTTTCTTTTTTTTCCCCCGTGTCAGGAGCGATTTGAGGAACTGCAAGTCGCTTCTGGTGTGAGAGAATTAAAGAAGTTACCCAGGGGGTGCCCCCAGTGTGTTACCATCCTGTGGGAGGCTTCTCCCATGTCCCCGCAGACGGGAGCTCACCCCTGATTTGAACCTAAAAGTGATGGAGACCTTTGTCAACAATCCCCCCCCCTTTTGTAGGCCTCCGCAGTTCAAGTGGGGTCAAACTGCATTAAATCTACAGCGTGGACGCACTCACGAAACGAAAACAGCTGGAGGGAGGGGGGTGAATATATTTCCTAAGGGAAGGGATACTCCTATCTTAGCTCCCGTTAAGCGGCTGAAGAGAAGAAGGAGACCCCAAACATTGGGAAATCCCCGCGCCAAAAAGGAAGACTCCAGGAAGAATACCTTGATCCATTTATCTACAGGAGAAATAGACACATCTATCCGCAAATATACATCAAGGTGGAGATATACAATAGCCTGTTATTTTCTCAGCGTCCCTTGAGGAACAACACCCACGTTCTCGACCCAAATGGGTTGAGAGTTGAGACAGAAGTTGGAACTCCTCAATGGCCTGCCTCTGGGCCAATCCAGCCTGGAAAAGAGTTGTTTGGAAGGGCCTGGATTGATCGATATTGGTTCTTATCAGGAGCCCTGACTCTCCCAGTCGGGGAAAAGGACCTTGAGAAAGATGTTGTCGAAACCAAAGCTAACCTAACTCTGATAGGCCCCGCTAGATATATATATATACACACATACACACTCTCTCACACACACACACACATTGGTCGCCTTTTCCAAAATGTCAACAGAACAGGAATTCTTCCCATTGTGGAGATTAAAGTTTACAAAGTATGATTTTAATAATAATAATAATAATAATAATAATAATAATAATAATAATAATAATAATAAATCACACAGTCCTAGACGCTTGGGAAGTGTTCGACTTGTGATTTTGTGATACGAAATCCAGCACATAGATCTCGTTTACTGTCACATACTGTGTTTTTGTGTCAGAATAATAATAATAATAATAATAATGTTCGACTTGTGGTTTTGTGATACGAAATCCAGCGTATAGATCTCGTTTGCTGTGACATACTGTGCTTTTGCGATGATAATAATAATGTTTTTGGGTTGCTGTAAGTTTTCCGGGCTGTATGGCCACGTTCCAGAAGCATTGTCTCCTGACGTTTCGCCCACATCTATGGCAAGCATCCTCAGAGGTTGTGAGGTTTGTTGAAAACTAAGCAAGGGAGGTTTATATATCTGAGGATGGTCCACAGTGAGAGAAAGAACTCTTGTCTGTTGGAGGCAAGCATGAATGTTGCAATTGATCACCTTGATTAGCATTGTAAAGCCTTGGGATAGCTTGCAGCAAGTCATTTAGGGAGTCCCTTTAGGGAGATGGTGGCGGGATATAAATACAGTTGTTGCTATTATTATTATTATCATCATTAGAAACACAACAAGGTGAGTCCACAGCAGGCTGTTGTATTGGATCACACGTCGGACACTTCCCAAGTGTCCAGGACTGTTGTTGTTATTATTACTATTACATTATTATTATTATTATTATTATTATTATTATTATTATTATTATTATTATTATTATTATTATTATTATTAGGCGTCCATTATGCACCTGTGTCCGATTCGGGTCCTGAATTTCAACAGCGCCAGTCAACAGCCGATCTCAAAAAAGGGAATCCAAACTAGATCAACGGAAACCCTGGGATTGTATGGTTATATATTTTTTGTTTTCCCTCTCTCTGAGACATCGATTCCCCTGTTTATCAGCTCGATGGTCCCGCTGCAGACCGGAGGCTTCAAAAACAGCCTTAAACTACTACTGTGAAGACCACACAGCCATATAACCCAGAAGAGCAAGGCACAAAATACCTCAAGATCTGCTCGGAACTGGGTTATCAGAGTCCACACTGCCATATAGTCCAGTTCAAAGCAGATAATGTGGGGTTTTGTTCAGCTGAGCGGAAGGGGCCTGGGTTGGAATCCCTGCACTCTCTCGGGGATAGATTCACACTGCTTGATATCCCAGGATCTGGTCCCAGATTATCTGGCAGTGTAGACTCATATAATCCAGTTCTAAGTATATAATCTGGGATCCAGATCCAGATGCGAAGACAGGCTATGAAGGAACCAGGCTTATTGTTTTGTTTTTTGAGAACCTTTCGGGTCCCAACTCAGCCCTGTTAACGCGCTGTGTGACTTTGGGCGAGTCACACTCTCTCAGCCTCAAAGGGAAACCCAGCCAAACTCCGCTCTGCCAAGAAACCTTCCGAAGAGGGCGGCGGATAGGCGCAAACGACTACGACTTGGATGGATGGGACAGCCCTATCTCTTCGTTTAATACGGATGGGGCTAATGTGGTCTAGCAGCGCTTTCGATGCTTCCCGTTCGTTTCCGAGGCTCAAACACAACCCGGACTTAGAAAGAAGCGCAACTTCCAAGGCACACCTGACCGCCTGGGACTTTGAGAGAGGAAATGCCATACAGTACTGCTGTTCTTCAACAGGTTGTTCAATCAGTGGAAGGCAAACCGCAACAGCACCGTTTGGCATGTTCCTCTTCTGCCACACTGGAGAATGAACGCGGTTTGACACCCCTGGAACCGCCAGGACTCAATGTTATGGGTTGATGTTTTGCAGAAGCGGCCTAAGAGCCCTTCCACACAGCCATATAATCCCTAGCCCTTCCACACAGCCCTGTATCCCAGAATATCAAGGCAGAAGATCCCACAATGTCTGTTTTAATCTGGATTTTTTTTAGTCCACACTCAGATAATGTGAGACTTTCTGCCTTGGCACTCTGGGATGTAGGGCTGTGTGGAGGGGCCCCCAGAATATCAAGGCAGAAAATCCCACCATATCTGCTTTGAACCGGGCTATTTTTGGCCCTTCCATACAGCCCTATATCCCAGAATATCAGGGCAGGAAATACTACAATATCTGCTTTGAACCGGGTTATCTGAGGGCCCTTCCACACAGTCCTGTATCACAGAATAGCAAGGCAGAAAATGCCACAATATCTGCTTTGAACCGGGTTATCTGAGGGCCCTTCCACAAAACCCTGTATCCCAGAATATCAAGGCAGAAAATACCACAATATCTGCTTTGATCTAGATTTTCAGAGTCCACATTCAGATATTGTGGGATTTTCTACCTTGATACTCTGGGATGTGGAAGGGCGCCCAGAATATCAAGGCAGAAAACCCCACAATATCTGCGTTGACCTGGATTTTTTGAGTCCACACTGCCATATATTCCAGTTCAAAGCACATAATGAGGGTTTTTATTCAGCTATGTGGAAGGGGCCACAGAGAGCTGTTGCATCCCCAAACTACAAACTCTCAGGACTCCAGAGGTAGTTAAAACGGGGTCAAACCGCATTACTTCTCCAGTGTAAGGAGACACCCCCCTCCCCACCCCTATAAACTGTAGTGAGGACCCGGCTTCCTCTCCGACTTGTAGAGTTTGAGGGACAACCAGAGAGGCTTTCTTCCAGTCCGAAGGAATTTGGGCATGGCTGAAATGCGGTGAAGGCAAGGCATCTCCCATCTGTGGGTGTCCCCTCAACAGAAACCCTCCGGAAAGGAGAGGAGAGGCAGGTGCCCCCGCCACGCAAGCCCCACGTGTCCCCTCCCACGGGGAGGAAAAGGACAAGGACTGAAAGCACCGCCCAAGAAGCAAACTTGCCCCGTTTCAGGAAACAGAAAGGGAAGAGGGCTGCTGATGGAGTTGGGGGCGCCATCTATTTACCTACTGCTCCCGGTCTCTGCTCCAAGCCGAGGGTCCCAGCTCTTGGGCAACTGGGAAGGGTGGCCCTTCGGCTTCCTTCGGAGATGGAGAGGCTCTCCCTCGCCTTGCCTCTTGCTCCGGAGGAAGAGGAGGCAGGCCAGCGCGGACTGAGCGGACGCCTTCCCGGGGCCGCCTCCTTATTTCAAGCCCGGCTCTCCCTCCCTTTCCCCCCTTGCCTTTCCTCCCCGCCCTCCCCTCCCTGAGCATGCGCACTGGGGTGCTCTCCCAAACTGGGGAACTCGGGCTCTCGTCTTCCTTCCTTCGCTCCCTCCAAAACAACAACAACAACAACAGGGGCGCCCAGAAGCCAAGCCCTCTTTGGGCCCTTCCACACAGCCATATAACCCAGAATATCAAAACCCACATTATCTGCCTTGAACTGAGATATCTTGAGTCCACACTGCCATAATATTCAAAGCAGATATTGTGGGATTTTCTGCCTTAATATTCTGAGTTGTGTGGACACCTTTTCCACACAACTGGTCTCTTTAGGGTCGGATCCAACCATTGCAATCCTTCTTAATATTATAATGTAATGCTTGTTGACCGAAAGATCGCAGGTTCGAATCCGGGGAGCGGCGTGAGCTTCCGCTGTCAGCCCCAGCTTCTGCCAACCTAGCAGTTCGAAAACATGCCAATGTGAGTATATATGTGTGATCAATAGGTACCGCTCCGGCGGGAAGGTAACAGCGCTCCATGCAGTCATGCCGGCCACATGACCTAAGAGGTGTCTACGGAAAACGCCGGCTCTTCGGCTTAGGCATAGAGATGAGCACCAATCCGCAGAATCGGACACGACTGGACTTCATGTCAGGGGAAAACCTTTACCTTTACTAATGCAATATAATACTACTAATAATATGATATATTTATATTACCTGTAATATTACCAATAATATTACAATATAATGGTATTGTACAATATAGTAATTATATATAATATATCATACTGATATTGTACTATGCTAATAATATAATATATTGTATATTATATAATATATTGTATGTATGTGTATAGTAAGCCGCTCTGAGTCCCCTTCGGGGTGAGAAAGGTGACATATAAATGTCGCAAATAAATAAATAAAGGGTCCCAGAGGTATATTTAGTATATATGGTGTTGATCTGTGTGCTACTGCTTCTTGTACAGTTTGTAAAAGGACGATAAGAGCCTACAATGCTAAAGTTGGAAGCGACCCCAAGGGTCATCCAGTCCCTCCTCATTCTGCCATGCAGGAAACGCACAATAGAAGCACCCCCGACAGGTGGCCGTCCAGCTTCTGTTTAGAAGTCTCCAAAAAAGAAGCTTTCAGCACACTTTGTGACAGAGAGTCCCACTGTTACATTGCTCTCTCGGTCAGGAAATTCTTCACAACCTCTGAGGGTGCCTGTCATGGATGTGGGCGAAACGTCAGGAGAGAATGCTTCTGGAACATGGCCAGACATCCCGGAAGACTCACAGCAACCCAGTTTTTTTCCTAAGGTTCGGGTGGACTCTTCCTTCCTCTCCCTGAACTATTCTATTGCTGATAGTCATTAGATTATATTGCATTGTTTCTAGCACAGTTTCCACTCTGTTAAAAGGAAAAGCAACACACAAATCTGTCTATACACATAATGAAAGTGGAAATGTGTTAAATGTGTACGTGTGTATGCGGCTCAAGGTGTCCACTTACACAGACAGCCTCCCGCCTCCACAAACCCACAGTGCTGAGGAGCCACAAAAAGCCCCCCCCTCCAAGGACATTGCAGGTTACAACAGCCACCATGAACATCTCCAACCCCCTGAAGAATGGCCTCCCCAAACACCATACTGCCCACCACCCAACTGAAAGCTTTCATTCGGGGACAATTTCATTCTAGATGTTCTGTTTTTCCTCCACAATGGACATCCTAGGGTTCCTTATTCTTTCCATTGCTTCGGAATTTGCATGACCTCACCCACTGCCTCTCCCTTAACCCTTTCTTACCCTTTCCTATGTCACACAGTAAACAGGAATTGATCAGCGACTGAACAAGAGGTTTGGGAAGAATTGTCTTTGATTTATAGGAGTTGTAGTTCACCTACATCCAGAGAACACTGTGAACCAAACCAAATGGATGATGGGATGACCCAACATGACCAACTTTGAATATTGCCAGGGTTTGGGACGGATTGACCCATGATTATGGATCTTGTAGTTCATCCACATTCTTATGCATTTTCAAATGGGAGCATTCATACAAAACAAAAGCAAAGACTGGCTTCTCTCTTAAGAATAGCGTTACAAATTGCCAAAGTGATATTACCAAACGTCCCAAAACAAACAAATAACATTGGCACCGCAGGGTCCCCAAGCTAGTAAATAATATAAATTCAGGGAAGAGAGCTCTAGTCGCCTCGATGCACTCGTTTATTTGGAGCCACCGCTTGAATTCATACAACCAAAGGGCCCTTTCAGACAGGCCCTATATCCCAAGATCTGACCCTAGGTTTTCTGCTTTAAACCGGATTATATGAGTCCGCACTGCCAGATAATCTGAGATAAATAGAAAACCTGGGATCAGATCCTGGGATATATATATAGGGACCCCTAGAGTTGGAAAAGACTCCAAGGGCCATCAAATCCAGGTGTTATGCAAGAAAACACAATCGAAGCACCCCTGACAGATGTCCATCCAGTCTCTGCTTTAAAAACTTTCACCCACCTTCGGGAAGATGTTATTCCAATGGCCATCCCAGGGAGGAAAAAGCGGGGTATACATTACAATGAAGCTAGCAAAAATAACCATACTTTACAAAAGAAATATCCCGTGGAAAGGACTGGGTTCCCCTTCTTCACCTGTCCAGGAAACTGCTGACACAAAGGTCTGCAGGAGCGTGGCGAGCTCCCGTCTGTCAGCTCCAGCTTCCCATGCGGGGGACATTGAGAGTAGCCTTGCACAGGATGGTAAAACATCGGGGTGTCTCCTGGGCAACACCTGCCCATGGCCTCCCCAAACACCATACTGCAAGTGAAGACTTCCATTGGGGACAGTTCCATTGGGGGACAGTTTCATCCCAGAGTGGACATCCTAGGGTTCCTTATTCTTTCCATTGGTGTGGAATTTGCATGACCCCGCCCACTGCTTCTCCCTTAACCCTTTCCTATGGCACACAGCAAACAGGAATTGATCAGCAACTGAACAAGAGGTTTGGGAGGAATTGACTTTGGTTTATAGGAGTTGTAGTTCACCAAATTCACTCACACCAGAAGCGTCTGGCTCAAGTCGTTCCTGACACACGTACACACACACAAAAGTCTCTGGAGCCCGACATCTCCAAGCTGATAAGTGAATTCCACTAAAAGGATCCGAAATACTCCGGATTTCAAGAGTCCCCCTTTTTTTCCCCAAGTCCTTCCAAGGAAGAGCCGGAAAGAGAGACCCTTCTTTCCCCGGTGGGCGTCTGGATTGTTACAAAGGCGAAACCACTTCGACGGTTTGGGAAAGGAAACCCATCCGAGCCATTGTCCTCTGGACCCGCTAATTCGTTTTTGAAAGGCAGATTTCGAAAGGTTTCTCCCTTCTCCCTTGGCCTACGCTTTCCAAACCAACAGGGAAGGGAACCCTGGAGCACTCGGTCTCCATCTGCCCGGAGAACGCAAAACAGAGAAGTCCAGGCTGAAGCTGCTTTGTAGAATTAATGCGCGTTGACATCGCTTGAACTGCCAGGGCTCCATGCATGGGTGCTGTCGTTTGACAAGGTCTCTATCGCCTTCTTTGGTGATGTCTCACCAAACTACAAACCCCACCATTCCGTAGCCTCGAGAGACAGCTGCTAAAGAAGCGGTGCCCAACTGCGTTTATTCTACAGTGTAGATGTGAGGCAAGGAACGGCGAGAGAGGTCGCGCTGTCACGTTTTCGTTTCGTTCCTTCCTCACCTTCTGTCCCTTCTCCGCCAGAAATAATAATCAGCACATTTCGAGTTCGAATAATTAATTAGGAAGTTTAGTATTTTTTTTAAACCAAACTCTCTCCCAGTGGGTAACGTTTCCAAAGTCTGATTTAGAATGCGACCCGAGTCGAGAAGGGACACGAAAGTCACGTGATGATGAATGACACCCTTGAAAAGGCTCCATTTAACTCGAGCCCGCTTTCCCCCATAGGCAGTTGTGCCAGGATAGAATCCTAAACGAATCTTTAAATTAAAGTCATCAGCCCCCATTTACACTACCATATACAATCCAGATTATCTCCTTCGAACTGGGTAATATGGCAGTATATATCGTGTCATCAGCAACCATACCATTGTATGGCAGTATAGACTCATTTAGTCCAGTTCAAATCAGATAATCTGGATTGTATGGCAGTGCAGATCCAGTCTCTTTTGAACTGGATTATATGGCAGTATAGACTCATAATCCAGTTTAAAGCAAATGATCTGGACTATATGGCAATGTAGACTCATATTATCCAGTTTTAAACAGATAACCCAGATTATATGGCAGCGTGGACTCATATAATCCAGTTTAAAACAAATAATCCAGATTATATGGCAGTGTAGACTCATAGAATCCAGTTTAAAGATTATAATCTGGACTATATGGTAGACTCATAGAATCCAGTTCAAAGCAACTAATCCAGATTATATTACAGTGTAGATCAAGCCTCCTTTGAACTGGATTATTTGGCAGTGTAGACTCATGTAATCCAGTTCAAAGCAGACAAATGGAATTATCTAACAGTGTAGACTCATATAATCCAGTTCAAAGCAGATAATATGGATTATATGACAGAGTAGACTCATAATCCAATTCAAAGCAGATAATCTGGATTATATAGCAGAGTAGACTCATAATCTAGTTCAAGGTAGAGAATCTGGATTATATGGCAATGTAGCCTCATATAATTTAGTTCAAATCAGATAATCTGGTTTATATGGCAGTGTAGACTCATATAATCCAGTTCAAAGCAGACAATCTGGATTATATGGCAGTGTAGATTCAGCCTCAGTAGACACATGTAAGATTGAGCTCCATACGTGTTTGGGCGCTTCTAGACTGAAGAATGAATGCACGTTAGCACCGTAATACTATGGACTCCTCCTGAGGTGTGCAGTTTGGGGAGGCGAGAACACTCTTAGGCAGAGAAGTCGAAACCACTTGCAAA